AAAAAACAACAATAATAAGAAAAATAACAATTAATAGCAAAAAACGAATTGAACGGACAACTATAAGGTGCCAAATGGCGACGACGAGCCTCTGTGCTAGATCTGAAAGCTAAACAATATACGTAACTTATACACATATGATATATGCCGTGTACATGAACAACTAAACACCGCTAGCTAGATAGCTAGATAGCTAGCCAGTCAGCCAGTGAGCCAGTCAAACAACCAAGCAACCATTCGAGCACAAGTAAAATAACCACAACAGACGACCAGCCAGACAAAACAGACAATTTAAGAGGCTAGCCTTTCTAGCTAGTCAGTTAAAGCGCAGTGTACTTGCAGTGCATTGTTGCAATGGTTGTAAGCATAGCATATGTACTTATGTACATACCTAACATAATACACCTTTAAATTTAGCATTCATTCAATATACGCTGTTTTGAGGATTTTACTTCTGCTTTGCTTTGCTTATGCTTATGCTTTTCTACCTTCCTCTTCTTATTCTTCTTGCAATGCCCACCACCACCAACGCAAGACTGTATAGTCATTTGGTCATCACGTTTGCCACATGCAGACCGCAAACTTCACAGATTACATAGGGTATTTATATCATTTTTGATCGGCACCAAATTTTGGATTACTTTTAAGTAGGTCGGTCCGTCTGTTCGTTTGGATAATGTCTTTGGTAATTACTGCTTTTGTCGCAAAAAATGAAATTATTGACTTCAATTTTATCAGAAACATTGGATATTGATTGTTACTGGAAATGATTTTGATACCCCCGTTGTGGGCGCTATGTACTTTCCAAATTTTCTTCTCACTAATCCTAAGCTGCAACAGATAACACGCATTTGCTGCAGAAATGGCATAAATGATTCCAAAGTCAACCTAATAAATATCGAAATTAAGATAAAGATAGTGAGTATAAAAGATGCGGTCGTAGCCGAATATAATTTTGTTGTTTATTTGTTTGTTTGTTTGTTTGTTTGTTTATTTTGTTTTTGATATGTCTCGTTCATGCACTCAAAAGCATTGCCATGAAAATGAAAATTTACTACATTTACTAGAGAGCAAATAAATACGAGTTAAAATTAGCGAAGAAAAAAAGAAAAGAAAAGAAAAAAAAAAAAAACCAAAAATTTGCCGACATTTCGTACAACTAGAAAAAGGTTCGCTTGACTGGCTGACTGTATTTCCTAATTGGATGGACGACGGGTGGAACTCTACGGGTTTTTCGAATATTTAACAAAAGAGCAGCAAACATCAACTGAGCCATCAGCTAACAGTTAACTAACTTAAGTGCTGAGCTGTACAACATCTGTTGTTGCCGTTGTTATTATTGTTATTGTTGCTGCTTATCTTCGACATTCATAATGCTTCTCTAATGCATGCAATAATTGCATATATTATTTATTCGCGAGAATTTGGTTCGATCTCCACTCCTTTTTGCCTTCTCGACGAACTTTCCCGCATTTCAACGCTTAATCATTAGAATCAAACAAAATGAAAAAGAAATTCAATGTTGTTGAGGCAAAATGAATAACAATTTTTTTTTTTTTTAAGCGTTCCGGACGAATTCATCTCTTTTCAGTGCCAAACGAGAAGTGGTAGTGACAATGAAAAATCTATAACCGCTTTATGGTTAAGGATGGATCGATTCTGCATTTGAAACATAAAAAAACATTGCTTGCAGATAACATAATTCGAAGAAAAAAACAAAAAAATTTCATTTTCAATGAGGCCATAAAAATGTTTCTGAAAGAGCTTTTTCGCTCTTTTGCACTTAAGTTCTGATTGCGTGGATATCTTGAAGCTGCTCTCAGTTTTGAAAAACTCCTTCAATCTTACCAAAAAATTCATCATAATTTACTTTGAATTATTGAAATTAATTTTTCTCAACCCTCTCTCTCTCTCTCTCTCTCTTCCCGGTCTATTGATCGTCGCTTATTACGTTTAGTAAGAAATATTTCATGGAGCAGATAAAGAGTCTCTTCAAAGTTTACCAAAAATTTTAGCTCCATCGTCCATCATATAAACGTTGGGTAAATGAATTTGAAGACTTAATAACTCAATCAATCTATATAAAGCGTTTCGTATTATTTCAATATTTTTGTATTTATCTATCTCTCCAAGTGTGGAAAGTAATGCTCAAAAGATTTGCAAACAAGTAAGTGTCGAGTCGAACGAACAAAGATATGAAGTAAGAAGATCTGCAGGTTTTCGTTATAGTTTCATTAATAGTTTTAATCTCATCTCAAAATAATAATAAAATCAACTCTAAAGACATTTTATACTCAGACGATTATAAGATAGAATAGTGTCATTCGATTGATAATGTTAGTATATATATATATTCATTGATGGCTATTGGGTATAAAACTATATTAAATTCTATTGTGTACTTACAAATGTATATTATTATATATATATATAAATCTCAAGCAGCAGCCTAGCGTAGCTGTTGCTGTTTTCGTATATATATAAAATAATATTTTAACTTTTAAACGTAGATCGCAGATCGAACATATATATATATATATATATATATATAAAATGTCATATTCAAAGAGGAACGATTAACTTATTACCCAATAATAATTTTTTTTTTTTTACTTATACGTAAGTGTAATAGAAAACAAATGCATGTATAGAATATGAAACGGATAGCAGTGTAGCTAATTATATAAGAAAGTGAATGCATCATGAACCAGTTAGGAGATTTTTCTTTTATTGCCTTAAGAAGCACAAGAAATTTGAATTTCAAATTCTTATTATTATTTATTTATTTTCTCTCTTAACTTGGCTAAGTTATTGATGTTCTCATGAATGTTAATTATAAACGAACACGCATACACATCATTTGTCTCACCCACGTTTTTGTGTCACATAGAAATCTATATGTAATGTCGAATCAATACGAATTGGAAAACGGCAACGATTTTCTTCTTGCAATATGCGTAAGCATGTGTATATATAGAATTTATATAGATAGATATACCATGAACACAGAAAAAGACTTTTCTTAAACGGAAAAAAAAAAAAAAAAAAAATAAGAAAATTTTTTGCCGCAAAAAATTTAAAAAAAAAAAAGCACATACACACACACATACGAACGCTAATTTATAATGCAATACATCAAAATGTAACGGTTGTTTATTAACTATATATTTCCCTTCAAATTTTAATCTCTCACATTTATTTATTTATTTTATTTTATTTTTCTTTACGTATATATATATTTAACAAAATTTTTCTTTGCTTGATGTATGCGCGCGTGTATATATATATATATATATATAGATGTGCGTGTGTGTGTGTGTGTGTGTTTGTATGTATGCATGATTATTAAAAACGAAAACAACAATTTTTTTGAAGTTTTTTTCTTTCGTTTTTTACGTCAATGTTAACTCACACTCGAAGTTTTTATGAATGAATGTATTTTTCCAGCACATTTCCAAGTACTACTACTACATGCTAGTCGTAACAGTAAAAATTTTACTCTCTTTTACACCACTTTTACTATTTTATATTTTATTGTTGCTTTCTCTTACACGGACAGTATAGAGAGGAGTGTTAGTGTAAATAAAGAGTATGTTTATTTGTTTGTGTGCGTGAATATATTTAATGATAATTATGTTTGTTGTTAATAAGCCTCTTACATATTAATGAGCATGAATATATCCACAAGTTGACAATTTTTTCTGAAATATTAACATTTTTCCTTTATTTTTTTCTTAACGAATCGAAGAGAGCGTAATCTTTGTAGGGTGAAAGAGAGAGTGAATTTCATATGTAACGTATATAAAACACTAAAGCACACTACTCTACACTATAAACTAACTACACAGCAGTATTTACCAATTACGAAAAGCGCACACAATAAACAAACTGCAATGCGTCAAATAGGCTGGCGACGTAATTGAGCTTTTTTTTACGTATACCTACTAACTAAAGAAAATAAGCTTCGTTACTCTCTCGCTGTTGCCTTTTCATATTGCGTCTCTCACTCGCATAACGTTTTAATATTGATATTGCTGCTGCTGTAGTTGTTGTTGTTTTTGTTGTTGTTGTTGTTGTTAGTGTTGTTATATTACTGTGTGAAAGGAGATTCTCACACTTGATATTATGTTTTATAGCTTTAACTGAGGCATTCGGGTTTTCTTCGTAGGAATTTTTCTTTTTTTCTTTGATTTTTTGTGTTATTATTTTATTTTCTAGTTTTTGTTTTGTGGATAAGATACTTTTCGTTTAGTATATTGATATATATATATATTTTTAATGAAAATAACTTTTTGTTTCACATACATATGTATACATATAAATATATGTACACATATATATATATATACATATATATATGTATTATGGTAACATAAAATTGCACTTAAAAATGGCAAAATCTTAAAGATATTAAAAAACTTTTTTATATATCTAGAAGACAGCTTCTTTTCTTCAAACTTTTTACATAAAAGCAATATTAATTGAATAAATCACATAAAAGCAAAATAATAAAAATAAAACACAATTATAATAATATTATATATGCAAATAAGATACACTCTTACGATTGCAAATGGATTAAGTAGAAAATCGAAGGACACAATTTATGCGGATTATTTGCTAAAATTTTTGATTTACTTTCATTTCTTTTTTTCTTTTCTTTTTGGCTTTAAATTTTATACTACACTACTACTGAACACATTTCCAATTTTTTCTATATATTTTATGTAAAATTGTTTTATTCATATAAACCGTGTAAATTAACGAACGCGTAAGCACCGCACCGTATGAAAACTTATTATAATCAAGAATGAATAAAACGAAACATTGAAAAGTATTTCTTGCTTTTTATTCCTCCTCAAATATAATCATACGCGAGTTTCAGCACAATATAATACAATGACGATGATGACGATATTACGGCAACATTCGACATCGACAACGGCAACGACAACGACGACAACAACAACCACCATCACTATGGCCTGTACACACAATAAGCTTCTTCCTCTATACATTTATACAAATAATATAAGCTTAATACTATCAGAGTATTATTTCATTATATATATATACATATATATATATATATATATATATGTATATAATACTCTCTCACTCTCTCTTTCTTTCTATTTTACTCTTTTTTTTTTGTTACCCACTACTACTCGAACAATTGATATGTAAAAAAAAAAATCACTGAGAGTTAGACAAGCGCCAAGCATTAAAGGCAAAATCTAAGCACTTATACGAAGCATGCAGCCATAGATATTTTATGGACACCCCGCCAGAGAGGAAGAGAGAAGAGAGAGAGAGAGAGAGAGAGAGAGCGCATCTAAGTGAAAGAGAGAACTTGTATATGTGTATAAAGATAATTATAAGCAGTGGCGCTTTATTCGAGAGTACCCTGAATTATGTTATACATTACACATATGCATATCTATACATATTAATATATACATATTAATATATATATATATATATATATATATATATATATATATATATGTATGGCTCAAAAATTGTAAAGTCAAAACTAAACAAACAAATTCACGCGCATACACATCTACACGCGTTTTAATAATGTAAACCTGAACAACACTCATTTATGACTGTGTCTGCTTTCGTGTGTATCATTTTTTATAGAGCCATGCAATATAATAATAAAATCATTAAAATATAATAACAACAAATTAAAGAGGACAAGTCTTTCGGTTTCTCTCGTTTTTTTTTTTTTTTTTCTTCTTGTTTTCCTTTTTCCAACATGTGAGATTTTGCAGAGAAGAGAGTTAACTAAATACTGTGTTAAAGATTTTCGCAAATTATTATTAATAATTTTAACTTTGGGATGCAAATGTAGGTGGACGGTGCGCGCGCACAAATATACATAAGTTTATGCATTATTATTATTATTATTATTTTTTTTTTTTTTGTTAATATAAAATTAGATAATTTTTATTATTTTGGGTACAGGGTGCTTTTTACAAATAAAACACTTAACAACTGTACATTTAGAAAAGAATTAAGAACATATGATCTCGATGTAAGAGTCCTTGGTTTTTTTTTATTTTTTTATTTTTCGCTAACTGGTTCTCACTTAGCTTACGTTCCAAGCGGAAAATTACAAAATTACATTTATTGGTAAGATATGGTTTTGAAATGTCCTCTCACTGTTCGAAATTCCGTTCTAAAATAGAAGAATATTCTGTTCGTCACAAATGTATGTCTTATTGTAATATCCACTGTAATATCACTGCTTTATGTATTAGGTTGTAGTGCTAAATAGATTGTATTTCATCACTTCACATATTTTTATGCAATTTGTGTATGCAAAATTTTACAAGCTACAATTTTATATAAATTATTCCAAATAATTTCATATATGGTTTTTGGGTCAATGAAGGCCATTCATCATCCATAGCCCAATATACTCAATTTTATTTTTCAAGCTTGGTATGGAAATTTAATTAAAGCAAACAGTTTTGAGGTCATGAGCCGACCGCATCAGCAGATTTTAAAGGATAATGAAGGAAAACAAGGTTTTAAGAGAAATAATGCAGTGACTCAATAATGAAACTAACATACAAACAAACGTAGGTATATAAATTGACTGAGGCATTAATGCCCGCAATAGTAGATCCTGCAACACTGCGATTTGTCAATTTTTCAAAAATGTTCACAACTTTTTAAATAAATATGACGTTCCACACATAAGACATGCAAGAATTTTGACTCAATCGTGTCCGGTTATGCATTTGAAAACTATTGTTGAGGCGTTCATAGTTTGCGAAAATTGAGATAGATTGTTGAAACTTGACACCACATAGACATTTCCTAGCTAGTGGTTTCAGATGGAGGTTGACCAACGGCCAGACTCATGATAAACGAAAGCCTAGACAACTTACAGTTTTCGCAGCAGACGATACGCTATAAAGAACGGCATATATACTTATAAAGTCAATCTAAAACAGGATGGAAAAAACGGGATTGATGCGGTTACAAACCTATTCACATAATAAGCAAAACAGTGTAACTTAAGTCTCATAAGAAATACTGAGCTAAACGTCGGTGCAAATAGATTTTAAGGCTGCAGTTAAATGTCGAGTGTATAAATCGCACACACATCGTCTGACGCGATTAGAAGCAACACAACATTTCGTAATGAAGTGATTGTCGAGTTAATGGATCAGAGTCAGAGGATTCGTGTTCTAAGACGAAAATAATTATTTTTAAGCAGGAAGTATAGGAGACGCTTTGTTGGGACGCGTTCGCCTATAACATATTTTCAAGTACTTTCAATCAAGTCGTTCAGGATCTAATTTTAATTATTCAAAAGTGAGGATAAGCTCTAAATACAACACCAAGTCTGTATCTATGTATGACTCAATAAGGCTCCTTAGGCTTAACTTGTCTTTTTTTTTTCTTTTTAGCCAAGTACATAAGGATTGTGTGTGTGCGGTCAAAACTCAATGCGGTAGAATTTATTCAAGCCGTAATTAAAATTAGTGCTTAGTTTTGATTGGGCACACGCCCCTTAGGCTGTGGCCGCTTCCCTATCTGTTTCTCTTCCTTTAGTTCTTTACTACCGTCGCCGTATTACGCGGCCATCATCAGAATGTCATGAAATTAAACGGGTCTGTCAACAATGTTGCCATACATGTGTCGGACCCGATACTCATTGAGTGACGTGTCACATATGTCTTAACCCACAAATGCCATGTCACGGATAGAATGCGATAGGATTTATATATATATATATATATATATAGAGAGAGAGAATAGGATATATATATAGAATACATAAATGAAATAAAAAATAAAAAAAAACTATTATTAATTAATTATTAATCCCGTATTTATGAATACTCTTCCAATTTTTTATGCTAAGTAAGATACAAAATAGTATAAAGTTTTCATATGCAAGACACTTCTTTATTTTTGCCAGGAGAAAATTGTCCTATATGCTCCGCCATCGGCTTATCTTGATTCTCAGGTAATATGGCGTGGCTTGATTTAATTTCAAGAGCCAAGCTTGCAACGGCCTCCCTTATAAGTAAGTTATAGGCATTTATCGTAACAATGCGAATACAGTTTTGAGTGGAAACAGTTACGGGGTTTTATTTATTTTTTTTTTTAATATTTTACTTTAACTTCTTCTTCTCTATACCGTTGATTTTGCAACAAGGAAACGTAATACTAAACTTTAGACAAGAAAAACAAAACGACAACTGAAGAGGAATAAAAAGAAGAAGAAAAAAGAAAGAAAAAAAAAACACAAAAAACGCACACACACACACACACAACAAACATAATAATACAAGCAGACGCAGAAGCCAACATAAGTAACAAAACAAAAACATTGAATATATATATATATATATATATACGTATGTATATAAACAAGTAAATATAAGGAAACAACAGCAATGAAAACAATGGCAATAACAAAAACACGTATAAGTAGACAAAATAAAACAATGCCAAACACAACAGACAGATATAGAGTGTAAATAGAAAATACAAGTAAGTGATGGATGGCGAACAACTTTGTACGGTTGGTTTAATGTCTGGGAAAAAAAAAAAAAAAAAAAAAAAAAAAACTAAAAAAATAATGATAATAATAAACATAATAATAATTATGATAAATAAATAAAGGAAAAATTAAGTAGAAAGAAAACAAATATAAAAAAAAATATATATAAAAAAAAAAATCAGGGGAAATACAATCATATTGAATAACAAAATCTAATGCACTACTAACTGAACGCTTTGATTAAATGTTCGTATGATGGCTCTGTGCGTACGAATAGTGAAAATAGCAACATAAAAATAATAATAACAGCAACAACATTAACGATATTACAAAAAGCAAATTAGAGAAAATGGCAAAAACATAACAGAAGAAAAAGGAAAAAAAACGAAAAAAAACACAACAAAACAAAACAAAACAAATATACAAATCAACGTAGATATGCTATGCATATGTGCATAAAAAATGTATGCACGTATGTATGTATGTATGCATGCATGTTGAAAAATGTTATGAATAGTAGAGGAAAAAAA